GCGGCGAGGCTTCCAACACACTTGTGTTGGTAGCGGAGCTCGACCAGTGGAGTGGGGAGCTCAAGTCCGTGTTGGGTGGCTTCGCCTACTTGACTGCGGTCCCGGTTTCGGGGCATAAATCCCGCAAGGAGTTCGTGTAGGCACGAGTCCTACTACCTTCGCAGGAACTATGACCTCACAAGATCCTCCAGATCAACGAATTCGCTGCCATTGGGATGGCGACCCAGCTACATACCCAGACTTCATGCGAAGGGTGAGACTCTCTTTCGAGCGCACACCGCGCAAAAAACGTCACCTCCTTGGACCGGAGGTCGTAGCCTCCCTGAGCGGCCGTGCATGGATAATTACACAAGACCTTGATCATCGGCTGTTGGTACGGCGGAACGGCGTCATATACCTCCTCGAATATCTACAAGAACGTCTTGGTAAAACTCCCGTGCCAGACGTAGGCTCCCGCCTGGAAGCTCTCATACTTCGCATTCGTCGACCTGCAGGCCAGAGTATGTCAACTTGGAGCAGCCAGCTGAGGCATCACTACCGGCAGCTTCAAGTTGCCCTGGGCAGAGTGCGCAAGGAACAGGAGAAGAGAGACGAGGCTGCTACGAGCTCACCAGCTACGTCGAGGCCGGCCCGGTCCTCTCCTCCCTCTACGAGTTCTCCGAGGCGGGCGAGCAGAGAGACCCAGGAGGAGCCCCACGGTGAGGACGATGCGGATGAAGGCGAGACGGTTGCCCCCCCTGAAGATGATCGCGACGAGCTCTTGGCCGACGAGGACCGGGGAAATGCCTCTCCTTCATGGCGGCGGTCGCGCCGCAAGAATCGGGACACCGATACGGACTCGGACGACTCCACCCGTGCCCTCGCCGACATCGCCTTGTGGGAGCGCTACGATGAGACCTTGCCTGATGTTCTGCCCAGCGAGTTGCTGGGATGGCTGTTGCTGCGTCGCGCTGGACTCAGCCATCAGGCCTCCTTGGCGGTGCAGTCTGCTGCTTCAGGCTCCCTTCGGCTGGATGATATAGAGAAAGCCCTGCGGGCCATGGAAGACGAGATCCTTGGCCAGGAGCTTCGACCTCGCGGACTTGGCGGCAAAGGACATGGGCGCCATCGCACCTATTGGGTGGAAGAAGGAGGCGAGTGGTCAATGTGGCTGGGCGAGAACGGCGACTTGGATGAGCTCTTTGATGGTGGCGAGATCCACTATGTCGGCAAGAAGCTCCCTCCACAGGTTCATCCGGAGCCCTACGTCGCCCCTGACTATGCCGAGGAATGGACCTACTATGGCAGTGGTTGGGACTCCTATCCAGATGAATGGTCTGGGTGGGACTATGACTCCTCCTGGTGGTACGACGACTTGCCACCCGATCAGCAGCAGGAGTTGGAAGAAGCGTATGCGGCGGTGGACCAGAAGGCCCGGACCTTCGTGGAGGCTCGGCAGGCGGTGAAGGCCAGGAACCTGTCCCGTGGCTTCTACCCGTTTGCTCCGTCGACAAAAGGAGGCGCCTTTAAGGGAAAGAAGGGCAAAGGAAAGGGCAGACCCAAGGGCAAGGGCTATGGATCCGCGGCCTCGTCTTCTTCCCCTCCGGTGTTGGCAGTGTCAGGCTCTCCTAGCCTGAATGATGATGGCAGTGGCTTCTTGGGAGCAGCTGTGGGTGATCCTGCCTACACCGGCTGCTTTATCTGTGGCAGCAAGGCCCATGACTTTCGCCATTGCCCAAAGCGCCAGAATAAGGGTGGTGGCAAGGGATCCGTGCATTTTGCTTCGGAGGTGGCCACCATTTTCTACAGCGAGGATTCCCTTGGTACCCTGAATTCTACTTCTTCTTGGCCTCCCTCTCCGGTCTATGCGATTCAAGAGGACGGGACCGAGGAGGAGATCTTCTCCCAGGATCCCTCTGAAGACTTGTCGGGCTACGCTGTGCTCGACTCTGGGGCTACCGAGACGGTGGCTTCCTTACCTGCTTTGGAGGCCTTGATGAGAGTTCGCCAGGGTTCCAGTGATTTTCAAGCTGCAGAACGTTTTCAGGTGTTGGACCAGCCCCCGAAGAAATTCAAGTTTGGGAATGGAGAGTTTGCGGTGTCCTCGTCTTTCCTGTTGCTTCCTCAGCAGATAGGTGATCATCGTGTGGATCTGGGAGTCTACACGTTGGATGTGGTTGGCGTTCCAGTGCTTATAGGCATTAAGACTATGATGCGTCTTCATGCAGTTGTGGATTTTGCCCATTGCCGTGCTGTGTTCGCTGCGGTTGATGCAGGACTGGTTGTTCCCCTGAGGCGCAGCCGGTCAGGACACCTGTTAGTCAGTCTGAAAGACAATTGGCTTCAACAAGGCCATCGCTTGGATGCAAGGACCATCCAGCCGGGAGTGCCTCTTGTGGCTCCAAAAGGAGGTCCGGCCAGCAGCTTCATGGTGCAAGGGCATGACGAACCAGAGTTGCCAAGACTAGGAGCGGAGACTGCAGTAGGTTCCCAAGATGATTGCGTATGCCAGCATGATCCTTCTGTAGAAGACCCACCTCCTGAGGATTTCCCTGCATTGGTGATGACTTCTTCATCTTCGCTGCAGCCTTCAGCAGATCAAGCGGTAGACCCTATGCGCTCCCTGGCTGTCTTGGCTGGACTTGTCAGCCTTCATGGCCAAGCCATCGGCAGCGGGAAAATCCAAGACCAAAGAAGGCGGCCGATCCCCTCGACGAGGAGAGGACGGAGGGACCAGATTTGAGGGACCCCCGGGTGAAGGGAGGCCCGTGCTTCGGGAACCACAAGGTGGCAAAGGCCTACAAAGGGAGTGTGTCGGGCAGCAACCAGTATGGGAGCTGGACAGGATGCGAAGTCTGCAAGATCAGACTTTCTTACACTCCGAGGATGGGGTGTCATGGCATCCATCGCAAGAGCGCACCCCTGGCCAAGGATGTCACCAGTGTTCTCGAGGACCTCCCGCCAGAGACGGAAGCCTACCCGAGCAACAAGGAGATCTCTTTGACGGCGGCCGAGAACTCAGCGCTGGCGAGACTGGAACATCTTCGCCGCCTTCGCAAGGACGGCCACTCCAAGAACACCGGAACTCATGCTACGCTGGTGGAGCCGGCGGACCCCGAGGACCCGGTGAAGACCAAAGATCAATCCAGCAAGAACACCGGGGACCCCGTGAAGACCAGAGATCAATCCAGCAAGAACACCGGGGACCCAGTGAAGACCAGAGATCAATCCAGCAAGAACACCGGGGAATCCACGAATGTGTCCACAGGTCAGCAGTCGACAGGGTCCAGTCCAATATCCCCAGGTACGATCGTGGTGGATCCAGAGGAACTCCCCCGGCATCCTGGTCGGAAGGCAGCCAGGCCCAGCACGCAGATCGCGGAGGAGTTGGATCAGGTCCCGTAGATCCCCAAGGTGACGATAGCTCACATTTTGTGTCCTTGCTGAACACTGCGGAGGTCGAGGGCTTTGCGGACTACCTGACCTCCCAGAAGGCTTTCGATTACCAGTCCATGGAAGAGCTCCTCGGCATGATGAAACCCCGCACCTTTATTCCGGGGAGGGCATCTTCGGTGCCCGAGCGGAAGGCTGGTTTCTCTATGGTATTTGGCCTGTATGCCCATGGCTCCTACTTTGGGTGCACTCGGGCCTCCCGGATGTATCCTTCAGTGTGTCGTTATCTGAACTTTTGCTTTCGGAACTTCGGCTCTGAGGCCGTGAGCCACTGGACGTCGGTGAGCGTGTTGGTGAACATGAAGGGCTCGATGCACCTGGATGCCCACAATGACTCGTCTTCGTATAACTTGGCAGTGGGACTTGGCCCTTACGAGGGAGGAGAGCTGTGGGTGGAACTCCGTGACGGTGATCCTTCCACACCAAATCTTCCGCTCTCCTGGAGAGAGATTCCTGGTGGCAAGCGAGCTCCTGGGCAGGTGCATTCGACGAGATGGTGTCCGACCACCTTCTCTCCCAAGCGCTACCACAAGACTCTGCCTTGGACCGGTACGCGGTACTCCGTGATTGCTTACACTGCACGGAGCTGGCCGGAAGCCCAGAATGATCCTGAAGTACTTCATCAACTACGACGCCTCCAATTCCCTCTCCCGAGCTCACCTTTATCACTGGCTCCCGGAGAGATGCTGGCAGCCTTCGAGGGAGACCTCAACGAGGGGGAGGAACCAGACGCGACCTACGAAGAGGAGCAGCTCACTCAGGATACCAGGACTTTGAAGGAGCCTTGAGGGAAATCTTCCTCGAGTATCCCAACGAGAAAGCGACCAAGGTGGTGAACCTGTGCACCCCGTGGCTCGACCCTCTGGCTCTGGAACAAGTACTCCAAGAACAGGAATGGAAATACCAGGGACTTTCCCTTCCTGAAGGATGCGACCTCTCAACGCATTCGGGCTTTCAGACCGCTAAAGAGCAGATTGGCCTCTTGGGGCCTGAGTGGTTGTGGTGCCATGTTCCTCGCGGCCCTACCCAGCTGTTTGCTGGGGAGCAGGGATGGGACGATCCCCGTCGGGCTTCGAAAGCCAAGCGCTACCTGAAGGTGCTGCGCCACCTCCTTTTGCTTTCCCGGGATCACTTGATCAAGGGCGGTAAGCTCATGTGGTTGATCCCCCCTGACAGCTTGGCTCCCTCAGTCCGAGAAGTGCAGCGTTTTTGGAATGTTCACGGCCGAGGTTCCTCTCTTCACGTGTCTTCGGCGACCCAGGTTCTCTCCAATGTGTTGGACGTTGCCGATCTGCGACCGTCGACCCCTTCAAGTAAGTTTTGGACCTCAGTGACCACCACCTCAAGTGCTGCTACGGCTTGGATGCTGGAGGCAGAGGGAGATACTGTTTTCCCAGTGGATACCAGCTGCCTCAATACCTTGACTACCAGTGAGCTGGAACGGCTGATGCAACATGTTCGTCAATTACATCGGCGTTTCGGGCATCCCTCGAACCGCCTCCTGGTCAAGAACCTACTCCACCGCAATGCCGATGAAAAGGTGGTGGCTGCAGCCTCTCAGCTGGAGTGTGATGAATGCCTGGAGTCCCAGATCAAGATGCCTTCCCCAGCTGTGAACTTGGATAAGTGTGAAAAGCTGTGGTCATGCCTGCAGGTGGATGGGTTCCACTTGCGTTGTGGTGCCACGGTTTATCATTTCCTCTTGATGGTGGATGAGGCCAGCGGCTTTGCAGTTGTCCGGGAGATGTTCTCCCATCCCGAGGAGGACCATCAGAACATGTCCGGTCCTGAGGTCGTTCAGGTCTTACAAGAGGCCTGGTTTCAGTACTTCGGCTACCCGGACACGATCAAGTTGGACTTGGAGGGTGCCCTGAGGAGCCGTGCCCTGCATGAGGCGTGTGCCGACAAGGGGATTGACCTCGTTCCGGCCCCCGCGGAGTACCACGAGATGATTGCGGATGTTGAAAGGGAGATCGGCTATGTGAGGCAGCACCTGGAACGCTTCTTACGTGGAGGAGCTTTTGAGAAGCCAGGGCAAGCAGCCTTGGCGGCAGTGACTGCCCATAACAGCCTGGCCCGGGTGCATGGATTTTCTCCCTTACAATGGGCTCTGGGTCGAGACATGTCTTTGGGACAAAGAGCCTCTGATGCCCCTGGTGACCAGATTTCCGCGACCCGGACCACGACCTTCAACAACCACGGTAACCTTCGCTTGGAGGCTGAGCAAGCCTTTTTGAAGTATCGAGCAGATCAGCTTGCATCCCGCGCTAAGAATGCCAAGGTCAGGGTGCAAGTGAGGTACTTCCCAGGGGACATGGTCTTCTACCGACGCCATAAAACTCCTGCTGACCTGCCGGCGAACTCGTGGGTAGATCGACCTCGTCTTCGAGGAGCCCGTTGGTATGGGCCGGCTCGCGTGCTCGCCTGTGAGACCAAGACTGAAGAAGGGTATCGTAAACCCTCTCAGTATGTCTGGGCCATCTGCAGTGGAAGGTTGAAGAAGTTCCACGCCACCCAGCTCCGGCACGCCTCCCCTAGCGAGCGCTTAACTCACGAGGCCCTGAGAGACATCACCATGCCGTGGACGATGACTTCCTTGACCCGGCTTCTTGATAAAGGTTCTTATGATGATGAGACCAGGGCCCGACCGTCAAGGAATGTGGTGTTGGGGCGCAAGAAGCGGGGACTTCGACGGCGACCGGGCGAGGCCTCACCTCCTCTACCACGACAAGGTGTTCAACCTCCACGACTTCCTGATGCTCAACCGGATCCTCCCATCTCGGACGAGGAGATGATCCCGGACGCGGAGATGAGAAAAGCTCCTCGCCTTCACGAGCCAGCGACTGCGACTAGCTCCTCAACCCCTGAGCTCGACGTTGACCGCCTCCTGAATGATCCTCGATACATGCCTTCCTCTCGAGCAACTGGGTTCCGAGAGCAGCGGCGACTACATGAACAAGGAGATCGCCCCTGGCATGTTCAGCACGGCCAGCTTCTGTACTCCGAGGAGGAGGTTGGGTCAGGCATCTACGCGGTGACACTGGATATGCCTGCCAACGACAAGGAGTGGCGCAAGGTGCTGAAGGATCCACGTAAGTTTATGGCGAAGTCGGTTCAAAAGGGGGTGGAAGTCAGCTGGAATCGCCTGAATGATGCCCAACGGGCAGCGATGTCAGAGGCCAAGAAGGCTGAAGTTGATTCCTGGATAGCCAATCGAGTGGTGAAGGCTGCCCTTCCTCACATCACGAAGGAGCAATCCCTTCGGATGAGATGGATCTACACCTTTAAGGCGGCTGAGCCCGGGAAGATCAAAGCAAAGGCGAGGATGGTCATCCTCGGCTATAGTGACCCGTCGTTGTTGGAGCAGGAAACCTCATCCCCGGCAATGTCGCGCCAGAGTAAGATGTTGTTTTTTTAACTATGCCACGGCGCGGCGGTGGCGGATCCTGGCGGGGGATGTGAAGACCGCCTTCCTTCAGGCAAAAGCTCCGAATCGACAGCACCCTCTACATGCTCAGCCCTTGCCGGAGCTCGCTGAGGCCATGAATCTGACCGAGGACCAGATGGTTGAACTCCTTGGATCTGCCTACGGCCTTACCTCAGCCCCGCGGGAGTGGTATCAAGATCTCACATCCACTCTTCGACGTCTTCAGGCCCAGGCATGCCTTTCCGATCCATGTATTTGGAGGCTATTCGATGAATCCGGTGAAAAGGTGATCGGGCTCATTGGGCTGTACGTCGATGACATTCTGTTTTGCGGCGACGAGGGAAGCGAGCTCTACTGCCAGTTCTTACATGACCTCCACCAAGCCTACTCTTGGAGTCCCTGGGAGAGTGACAACTTTAGTCACTGCGGGGTTCGAGTTCAGCAGTTTGCGGACGCTAGCATTTTGCTGGATCATTCTGAGTTTTGCTCAGAGTTGGTGCAGATGCCCTCGCGAAGCAAGGATGATGACTCGGAGCTCACCGCTCAGGAGATTTCTCAGGCCAGGGCCATCCTGGGATCGATCCAATGGAGGGCCTCGCAGACGGCTCCCCAGCACAGTGCTAAGGTTTCCTACCTACTGTCCATGTTGGCTACCAAGAAGGGCGAGGTCGTGGATATGGTGAACAAACTGGTCCGCGAGGTGCACCTTGCCAGGCACGTCGCGGTGAAGATAAAGCAGTTGGAGTGTGACCCAGCCCGCATGATCCTAGTGGGCTGGTCGGACGCGGCTGTCGCCAATAGGCCTGACTTGCAGTCAACTGGAGGCCATTTGTTTGGTCTGATGAACCCTCAGGAAGTCCAGCAGGGGTACGGGAAAGTGAATGCCATTACCTGGAAGTCGAGCCGATTGAACCGGGTGGCAAGAAGCAGCCTCTCAGCCGAGACCCAAGCCCTCGCGGATTTGGATGGCGAAATGATGTACGCACGCCTTACGTGGGCGGAGATGAATGGCTACAGAGGCGACATGAAGCTTAAGGATGAGTGGATCAGGGCCATCCCGGCGATCATGGTCATCGACGCCCGAGCTCTCTTCGACGCCCTTGAACGAGGCGACCTGACGATCTCCAGCATGAAAGACAAGTTTTCTGCGCTGGAGACCTTGGCACTTGCCCAAAGCATGTCTACGCTGGGTACTCAGTTGCAATGGACCGATAGCGACCATCAGTTAGCTGACGGTCTGACAAAGATCCAGAAGCAAGACCAGCTCAAGCGCTTTTTGGCAAGTGGCTGTTGGAGACTTCGCCATCCTGGGGCACTGATGAGTGCCAAGAAGCGGCGTGCTTTAGAAGCCTTAGGTCCGTGTTCTGCACGTGAAGCCGATCGCTAAAGAAGTGATCTTTCGGCAAGCCTTTTTGGGGCATGTCAGACAGGCAGCCTCAGCATGTG